GGCACTGAGCCGCGTGCTAACAGGTGTGTTTCTCACCCACAGGTGCAATAACGTTTTGTACATCAGAGGCGTAGAAGAGGAGGAAGAAGACGGAGAGATGAGGGAGTGATCCGGCCTGCCGTCCTCAGTGTGACTGTACCTCGTAGTTGAGTTTGATGTGTGTTTGTGTTTTCACCATGTGAAAAAAGTGAACGCTTTGGGGGGGGCTTTTGGTTATTTTTCAAGCAGTTTTGAAAATGATTTTTTTTTTTTTTTACTGTATGTGAGGCCCATTTTATGTTGTAACATTGTGATACAGACACAATAAATGATTATACCCTTTCTTAAACCTGATTGTTGTGGTTTTTTGTGTGTGTGTGTGTGTGTTATCTAATTAAAGGAGCAAATTCCTCTTTAAATCCACTCAAATGTCTGTGGTGTGTGTGTGTGTGTGTGTGTGGCAGAAGCACCGCCCCTCTCTCTCTCTTTCTCTGCACTTTAAACTCTCCTGGACAAATATTTGCCTGTTCCCAAACTAGCTGGAAACCATTCACTCTGAAGTGTCTGCTCTGGGTGAATCAAAATGTCCAGTAATTACCGACTGCTGGTGAAGAACGCCAGACATGTGGTTCTGATCTGCAACAATGGGGAGAAATACATGACCAAACACGCAATGCAAAATCTGTGTGTGATTGAAAATGGGAGCGTAGTCATAGGAAGGTAAGTTTAAGATCAATTGGACAGACATTGCTTCATACCTGCAGACCAAATCAATCACAACTGTAGGCTTCTTCATTAAAATGTATATTAGTGGAGAACTGTGTATATAGCTGCACTTCATACCTGCATGTTGAATGTCAGCACAGCTCTGGTTAATCTGCATGTTAAGGTTTATTTTCCTCCAGCACAGGACTCATGTGACATAATGCACAATGGCGACCCCTACAGGCTGTAGTGGCTCATTACACACCAGAAAACTAAAGTATTTTACTTTTACTGTCTAACATTGTATGTTTTAAATATTGGCAGTGGTGGAAAAAGTATTCGGTATTATTAGTATAATGTTTGTATCAACAGTAAAAGTACTCAGTGCAGTAAAGTTGTCCCTGCCAGTGTTTTATTATTGTATAGGATGTTTGTGGATTCATATTAATGATTAATGAATCATTAATGTGAATGTTG